AAGCTCTAGAGAGCCACAAATTTTTTCCATGTTATACAACCTTTTTTCCTCCTCTGGAACAGGAAGCAAATAGTGTTATTGGCATTTTATATTTCAGGAAACTAGTTTCCTTTCAGGTAACTGGATTCCTTTCATCCTTGATTATGATTATGTTATTGCCTAGCATCTCTTTGCCCTTCGTGTTTTTAATATAATGCATGATCAGTGCATGTTTATTCCACCCTCCAATTTGGTGTTCCCTCAGTGGGTTCAGCTGCAGTTCACAGAGTTGCCAAACTGTTTGTTGGCTGGGGAATCTGGAGAGTGGCATCTCCTGATGCATCTGGGAGGCCTTGAAAAGTGTTCTGACTGAAAAGTTATATGGCTATCTTGCTTGTTGAGTGTAGGCCAAAAAGCATTAACCGAAGTCACACTCTCTTCCCAAAATACGTATCAAGCACATGTGATCTTTCTTTTTCATTTAATGATTTACGGTACGTATTTTGATTTATCTTTTTTTAAAAAATGTTCATGTTTTAAGCTAGATTATCTACTAAAGACTTTTGTCATCCCCCCCCCTGCTTTTTTTTTGTTATAGTATCAGTTAATTTTTATTTATGTCAAACTAAAATCTCAAGATAGTTTTTTTTAATTAAATTTCTGGAAATTAGAGAAATTCTTGCTGGCAGTATGTTTAGCATTTCTTTTATTTCAGTACTTAAAGGTAATTGAATTTTCATTTGTTCTGAATTCTATTAGTGGCTTGTAATCAGCCCTTCACAATTTATTTTTGTCCTTGATTTGGTCAAAGTTCCTCTTAAATTAATTTCAGTGTGAGTTAAAGTGTTTCTGGTAAATTCAGTCTGATGCACAAATAAATGCTTTACCTGCAGTATAATACTCATAAAATATAGAACCAAAAGTTCTTATGATTAATTTCATACCCCAGATTTAAGGAATCTTGGTCAAAACATTTCTCAGTTGTCTTTGATGTTGTTATAATGTCAGTCACATTTTATGAAACGTTTATTATCAATTGTTGAAAAGGTTAATAATGATTTTGCCTCAAAAAGTTTCTGTCTCTGTGGATAATAATGAAGTGGAAATAACCACTTAATGAGATCTACCTCTGAGCAATGGGTCAGAAGATAGGACAAGTGATTGTCAATTGATATTAAAAAAGGAAATAAATACACCAAAAAGAGCCTATTTTGAATGGAGCTCAACATGTCCATGTAGTTTTCTTGGCAAGAACACAAAAGTGGCCCCCCCACCGTCTTCTTGTCCCACCGTCTTTTTTGACTTCCCTATGTAACCTACAGCTCAGGTAGATCTGTTATATTGTGTCCAAAGGCTAATTAGGTCCAGCCTTGCTTAACTTTTTGAAATCAACCAAGGCACACTGACCCTTGCTGGCATTGCTTTTGATCAGCCAGTCATCTTCACCATTGCAGCCTGTGGAATCACAGATATATGCTGGATCAGGGCATTTTTAAAAACAGCTTCGCTGTATTCAGTTGCGAAGCTATGATTCTGAATTGCAGAAACTGATTTGTGATTTTCTTCTCCAGTTTGTAGTATATGTAATCTCTATGCATTTTACTTAGAGAACAGTCAGTTATTAAGATAAATATACTTAAAATATTTTCTTTTCAAATGTCTGTTAGAATTGTAACTAAATATTGTTCAATATTGGATATCATATGTACATGGGAGAATTATATGTACAGAATATTCAGGTATTCTTCCTCAAATCACTTCTTGGCATCTTTACTGAAGTACTTCATTTGGATGGGTTTCAATTTTCTTTGTAACACATGAGCATTTTTCCTTGCCTTTTGGACCAAAGAGTTTGGGTCAGTTGCTTTATGATCTCATTAGATGTTGTAGAAATTGTCACATGAAGGTTATCAGTTGAACTGTTAAATTCAAAGAATTGGGCATTGTTCACCTGGTTTTGCTAAGATTATATGACTTCGATCACCAAAATTCATTATTGTTGGCATCCAAACTAACAATATGTGCTTCAGTTTTTGATTGCTAACAAGAAGAGGCTTCAAACTCCTGATATTATTTTATAAGTTCCCATAAAGTTTCATCATCTTGATTCCATAGAGAAGAGATTCGGCAAGCATTTCATATCAGTGCTGCATTTATTGTCCTTCTGTGTCAGAGAATGTACTGATAACGACAGAGGTTTTATTGTGCTATAGTTTCCCCATAATATTAAAAGAAAATGATGTCTACTTTTTTAAAATTACTTTTAAAACTATAGTCAAGATGCTTTGTAAAGTCTGGCTAATTTACCTTTTATTGTTATTGAAGTGAAGCTGTCAATACAAACAATATATTTCTGATGTCCTTTGTAGCCTTGATAGCTACAAGTTACTTAATTATGAACCATTGATTTCTATTTTGCATGTATGCTTCTTATTTTTGTTTAAAATGGTCAAGAATTGCAATTTAAAAAACACTGATTGAAAGTTTCATTAGGACATTGATTTGATTTTCATCATCTATGTGTCAGCAACAAATGCTATTCTCCCATGAGTGTCTTTACTCCACAGATATAACACATAAAGTTCCTTTGTGCTATTAACTGTTGGAGGACCAGGGGGAAAATCACCTTTGAGGAAATACTATATTGTAGGGCAGGGATATAATATCCTTGGAGGTCTTCTTTCAAAATGATACCCAGTATTTCAATGTATTTTATATTTAAGATTTTGCTTAGTCTTGGTGTTACACGAATATACAATAAGAGAAAAATAAGCCCAATATACTTTTTAGAGAAAGAAATCAAATAAGCCCCATCTTTTTCACTGGCAAAGAAAAGATTACATTATTAAATTTTGGTTTCATTTATAATTATGGGTTCTTACAATGCATATTTAAAGGGTATTGTAGCAAATGATTTTGAGTGCTTAAAATAAAATAATGGACGATCTGGGTTTGGAAAGTATCTAAAGCATAGGTAAAATTATCCTCAAGAATTTTGAGGAGTTGGCGGTTGCAGGAAGAGGTAGCAAGTTTTCAAAAGAGTGTTCTGCCTCTCTCGTAATTGCACATCTTTGTTCCTGTATCTTGCTTTCAGAAGCAATTTGACGTTAGAAGGTGAAAAGAGAGAACAGGGCTCTGAGATCACGTTAATTTCCTTTCCCTACCTTTACAAGTCTGAAATAGTTTTCATTATTGGACAAAGTCATGTTTGTATATTAGTGCTTCATCTCCAAGGAGTTCAGAACTTCTTTGCTTTTACTTTTCGTCTAAAACATAATTTTCTGAAGGTCATGAGTGTTTTGTTTAAGGTAATGTACTATGTCTACGTTAATTTTCAGCAGACAAAAGCAAAGAAGTATTGAAAGAACTCCTTTTGATATTTTTAATTTAATGTTCCAATCACAGTTCACTTCCCAACCTTCTCGTAATCAAATAAGTAAAAGAAAGGATGCAGTGCAGGGAATGTTTAGGTAGGTTGTCCAATTCCTTAAAATAGCTTTGGGCCAAATGACTAGGAAGGAAGTGCTTGCCCTATTCCGTCTCATAGGAATGCATTGGGGAAATCTTTCTGGAAGGTTTTTCTCTTCTACCCTTTACCTGATCCAGCTAATTTTCAGTCTCAACCTTTCTCTTGTTGGCTTTGACTACCACACCAAATTTGATCCCATTCTCTCTTTGGTGAGGGGGAGTTATCCTGCTGATGGACAGCCAGATGGACCGCAAGAGCCTTGAATGCTTTTGCATAATATGTTTCCAAAATTCCATTGAGTTGGATAGCATAACAAGATAAGGACAGAATGCTGAACATGGTTTCAAGATGTTTCCCCCCCCCAGTCTTTTAATAATAGCACCACTCTGAGTCCCATTTCATTCTGCTTTTGAAGGTTATCCTGTGAAGGGGATAAAAGGCCAGAGGCCTGAAATCCTTTGCAAAATTTGTTTCTACAGACTTTTAGATTGTAAATATTTTTTTAAAAAAAGGTACATCTAAATTCTGCAGAGAAAGTGCAGTTTTTTAGAACTTGAAATAAAGGCTGCTTTGTTTATTTAAATGAAAATTATGTTGTCTAGCAATACTTTTCAGCAATTTGCCATGGCTAAACTGTTTTGTCTTTCCTTTTGTTGGTGTTTTTTTTTTCTCTCCACACTGCAGCTTTTAATGAGATCACCAGTTCATATATTTTTCTTTAGCTGCCTCTGGCTATTGATGCTCTTCATATTTTCAGACTTGTAACCCCAGGGTTTACTTCAAAATCTCTGTGATTAATAATATTAAATAGTATTTTGAATGTTTTCATTTTTGTTCCTGAATGTTTGTCATTTTCAGCTAAATATCTTAATGAAAGTCATGATGGTTTAATTCTCAATTCCATCACTTAAAATCAAACAGTTGATTAAAATGAGAACTTATAAATATTTACTAAAATTAGTGTGATGGATATTTTCTTTGCTACCAGCCAGGCTTCTACCACCAGAGTGAATTTTTTAAAATTGTTACTTTATTCTAATAACAAAACCACATAGATGGTTATCATGAGCAAAGTACATCTTTCATTCTAAGAAGGAAATCATGAATACTTTTAGAAAATTAAAAGGATTGGTAGTTGATTGGTACTGATTTAGAAATATGCCCATTGATCTGAAAAACAGGTAAATAAGGGTAATTAGTGGGTCTCCTGGATGCCAGAAATTATAGGCATCCTCAGTAATTACCGTAGCTTTCCGATAAATGAATGCTTTGTTCTTATTGCATCCTCACAGAGCCTTTTGTGAGCATACCTATTATACAATCTCAACATTTCAAATGGTGGTTATTGCTAGTTAAGATACCTTACAGGCAAAATTCAGATTTTTTTGGAGGCTTTGTCTGAATTTTCATGTGAATTGAGTGTTTTCTCTAGGATTTACTATAAAGAACAAGTGGCAGTATGAATAGTCCTAATTGACCATGTATTGTGGTTCCTTATGAGAATTAAACATGGCAACAATTTATTTTATTTGTTTTTTTTATTATTATCCAGGGTGGTCCACAGAATGGCAAAACCATATGAATTTAACTGGCAGAAGTCAGTGCCTTCCTTTCTACAGGATGGAGCTATTTTTGACAGATATGAAGAGGTAAGGAGCTTATACAGTATCTGGAAATACAGCTGGAAGTTCCATTCTGAGGGCAAATAATAGAAATCTGTTCCTGGTCATTATTGCTTCAGAGAGGAATATCAAACACCACCTTTTTATTAAAGTAGATGATGTGCAAGATAGGGTCAAAAAAAGAGGGCTCATTCTGAGCTAAACCTAACTTAAGCATCCTGGCGGCCATGATAAAGAGAAGAAAAAGAACCGAAATAAAGCTGATCTCTTCCTCCAGAGTCCTGCTCGCTAGGCAGAATTATAAATAATACTAATCCACATTATATCTCTCTATATAAAGATTCTGAATGATTGTTCCCCTCCAGCAAACAGTCTTGGAAATGATAATGCTCTCACCACTCAAGTTGGTGAGTGCACATGTATTTAAATATATTGTTTTATGAATGGGCAGCAATTGAATTGCTCCCTTTTTGCCATCTTTTAAAATTCCTCATTGAAAAATGCATAGAAAGAAAAGAATGTCCATAGACCACAAGGTAATGAAGGCCAGAAAGCCATAGCTTTTATCCACATCCAGGACAAAAAATATATAGCGTATAGGCAAGGGAGAGAATTCGGTGATTTGCATAAATGTAAAAGGATAAAAAGAGGTCATCCCAAGGAATGTGAGAGGGAACATATTGCATTTCAAAAGATTAAAATGCAGTATGTTGTTCTTTTATTTAACCATGGGATCAACATTCCTTTAAGCAGTAGATAGTTTGTTTAACTGAATATAACAGTCTAGTTAGTACTATTGTTTGATACTTTAACATGCTTGACATAAACGGAATCTCAAGCATTTTATAGATGAGCTGAACGTTCTTTTTAACATGACAAGTAAGTAAAAGGCTGAAATCCCAATATCTTACTCCATTTTCTTAGCTCTTGAAATAAAAAAAAAAGATTTTTAAACATTTAAGGCCTGCTAAGATTGTTGCAAATCTCATTCCCAATAATTGTAGCATACAACAATAAAATGTAAGTAGCTTGCTGAATGATTTTTTGCTTAGAAAAATATACTTCAGTATTTAGTTCCCCATCCCAAATATAAAAATATCTAGTTGGTATTAGAAATATGCAGCTAAACTTTTCCAACATGATGCAGTGCTTTAATATAAATGCAAGAGATTATTTCCATGGCACAAACAAAACTTCATTTGTGGTTCCTATGCAGGAATCATAACAGACTGTTGCAGTGAATGGTAGACATGGATACACCTGGGTCCTTAAGTCAGTATAGAAATCTATTGGGTCCTAAGAATATTCCTTCATAGGTAAAAGCTGTAAACTTATTAGAGTGCTTCAAGATCATACCATTTAACTCTATTGAGTAACATTTCTACAACACCACTTTGCTGCTTTGGTTATTAATTCATTTAACATATTTTGTCTCTGATTTTTTTTTTAAAAAAGGTGGATAATTTGGGTTTTAAATTCTTCCTTGCAGACCTGAATATTTTGGATTTTTCTTTCAACAGGAATCTTCTGTTTTTGAGCCAAGCTGCCTGTTTAAAGTTGATGAATTTGGCTTTTTTCTATCGTGGAAAAGTGAAGGAAAGGTAAAATTTACAATGATCTCATGATTATTATTTTTTTTGCCTCCTCTAACAAGCATAAGGTACAATTCTAGTTGTTCTAGTGGGAGGCACTGTGTCCAAATATTAGGGCCTTAGATTATATTGCTAAATATAAAGATTTGCAAATCTTCTACCCTGTAATTTGTTGAGACAGCTCCCATAATATCCTACTACTGTTGCATTGCTGTAGGGGGATTATGAGAATTGAAACTGAACAACTAGAGAACACTAGGCTAGATAAAGCCCCTAAGCACACTTATTAAAAGTATAAAGATGAATAAATATTCCAAAGATTGCAATGTTAGTTTGAAGAGAAGAAATCATTTTCTGCCAATAATTTAGTTCCACACCATGTTTCTTTCCTTAATAGTAAAAAGGGGAAGGGAGGGAATCATATGTTTATGGATGGAAGGTGTGTGTGTGTGTGTGTGTGTGTGTGTGTGTGTGTACTTGCAAATCTTGTTCTATATCTTCTAGCCATTCTCTACTTGCCTCAGATTTGTATCTGTATAGCAACAACTTATTTTTGTTCCCTTTGATCTAACGATTCAACATTGATTTCGTCCACATGTTGTATAGTTGGGTGCAGGAAGTTATGAGAGGGATGAGTGTGAATGAAGCAAATAGTTGCTGAATTTATTTTCTTTGGGGGTAATGATGTAACAGTCTGAAACCTTGACCAGGTGTTACTGAACTCCACCATCTCACCATTAGCTCTGTGGAATGACGTTCCTGGAAGACCCTCTGAAGAGCAAAACATTCCCCACCTTTACACAGATGTCAGCCTTACCAGGTAGACCAGACAGGAAATAAGGCCAAGTAAACTAATTCTGCTTTGTTGAAAGCAGAATGAACAGGACCTTGTAAGTCTGAAAAGACAATTCTTGCACCATCACCTTTATAGCCCGATAACTTCAGGAGTGCTTTGCCCATTATGCAGCTGTGGGCTATGCTCCCTCTTATCTGACTGCTCTTTAGGCAACATCTCTTCACCAGGTCTCCCAAAGTCATTCTCACATATCATTACAGCAGGAGTGATTGCTGTGTTGTGATCCTATGCACTCTCTCCCCCTCCCCCAACAGACCTCATCCAGGCCAGGCATGATGGCATTTAGAGTCTGACAAATTCTAGAGAGCACAGGTTTCCCATGTCTGTTTTTACTGACATTAATATAATGTATACTGCCTGGTATTAATTCAGATTGTATATTTTTGAATGCTTAGCTGTTGTTGTATTTTCTATTTCAAGATACATCACATTGGCTGCTTGGCATTTATAGTGTTCTTTTCTTTTCCAGGAAGGGCAAGTTTTAGAATGTTCCCTGATCAACAGTATTCGTTTTGGAGCAATACCAAAGGTATTTCTGTAGTTTTGTTTTAAAGTATTGTTTTAAACAATTACCATTGGCTTGAGGCCCAGGAATGGAAACTTTCTTCAGTTTCAAGAACTTCTGAAGTCTTTGTACCTTAAGGGACGATGGATTTTTAATTTTGAAAAACTGGGCTTTAGAAACTAACTTTTGGTGAGGATCAGATAATTTAGAAGTGTTTACCTACAAAGGATATATTACACCAGGGATCTCCAAACTTGGCCGCTTTAAAACTTGTGGACTTCAACTCCCAGAATTCCTCAGCCAGCATGGCTGAAGTCCACAAGTCTTAAAGCAGCCAAATTTGAAGACCCCTGTATTACACCCATAGATCTAAGTTTTTCAGTGGCAAATATTTAAGCATGTGTTAAAATTTTCCCATGTAAATCTGTGGCACTAAGAAGCTCTGTCCTGATGCTTGGATTATATCATAAACATTTAAAAATAAAATCTAGACTTTAGATAAAGGCTTCTTGATTCAGAATACCTTCAGCCATTGATGGCTATGATAAGGATGATAATAAGTATTTTAATATACTTTTGTTCTTTGGGATTCTGATTCTGATGAAGATGGTACCATCCAAATGGGTTTTCATGAATGAAATCAATAAACTGGAAGCTTTACATCAAAATGACAGTAGGTTTTGAGTAGGCTACCTAAACATTTATCTTTTTCCTTAGCCCTGGCTTTTGTCTAGTCTGTTGTGGCCATAGGGTCAGTGATTAATTTCACAGACTGATACTTTTTTATTCATGCTTCTCACATTCACACTACTCCCCTGTCTGCAATGGGAGTATTGGCTAGTTTGGCTGGTGGTAGAAAGACACCACCTCCTGTGAATGTAAATTGGTATTCATAAATTCATCCAAAGGCAGACAGATATAATATAGCCCAATTTTAATAGTTTTTTATTGTGCCTTTATTATTTTTAAATAACTCAAGGCAATGAACGTACCTAATATTTGTTCCTCCTCCTGATTTCCCCAATCACAATCCTGTGAGGTGATTGGGGCTGAGGGGGAGTGACTGGATCAAAGCCACCCAGCCAATTTTCATGCCTAAGGTGGGACTAGAACTGGTTTCTAGGCCAGCACCTTCACCACTACACCAAACTTCTAAGAATTTAACCTAAATCCTGTAATGATTAGTTGGCTGTGGGTGATGAAATTTTCCTGTAAATACAAAACAGTTTGTGAAAGCTAAATTTAATGTTACTCGAAAATCAACAATGCCCCCAGACAAAAAATTGCTCTCTGAAGCAGTCCTTCCCACCCACCACCCACCCCCATTTCATTTGCTCAAGCAAACTAGAGTGGAAATAAAACTCTACTTGAATGCTAAATATGAAGCAAGTGCCTCCAGAATGAGCTTTTTAAGTCAGTCTTGTGTAAGTCCTTTATTCGGACTTATTTAAAAGAGGTCCCATGATCTGAAAGAGACTTTTGAATAAGGAATGGAAGCCACTGATGTATTCCTAAGATATTTTCCCCAGCTTGGTGTCTCCTAGATGTTTTGGGACTATATGCTGTCTGTGGAAATTCTGAGAGTTGTAGCACATCTGGAAAGTGCCAGTTGGGGAAGAGCATCCTAAGGTATACCTTTTTTCTCCCCAATAACTATTATCGGAGTATTTCATTTGGGTAAGGTCACTGCACTCAGAACCCAAGAATTCTTGTTACTACTTCATAGGCAGAATATTAAATAAACCACTATCAGTTACCTAACGTGAATATGATCTGTGTATATACTATTATCAGCTCCCTAAGTAGAAAATGAAATACTTCTAAACATATGCTTGGAATGGCGACAAAAAATATAAAGAAGGTAAATATGAATAAGAAATGCTTATGGGTGAAAATGAGTGATATGTTTTTGTCTTGTTTTTTTAATCCATGGTATTTTTTTTCAAGCAATTAATTTTGTTCAACAGGATCCAAAAATATTAGCTGCTCTTGAGGCTGTCAGTAAAGCAGAAAATGAACTTGAAGGACGAATAATTTGTGTCTGTAGTGGCACTGATCTGGTGAACATCAACTTCACATACATTGTAGCAGAAAGCACTGAAGACGCTAAGGTACTGCCACTAAACATAACTTTGGTGTTTTGTGGCATTATTGTTCCATGTAAATCCCTATTATTCTTTAAGAAGGTTGGCAAATATTAATCTAAACCCAGATCTTTTGACATCAGTGGCAAAAATGAGCTAATCCCTCAACTGAATTGGTGTACTGGTTTTCAAATTATTTGGGTGTTTCTTCTGTATGGGAAAAATGTTAGCCCGACAATTAGGAAGTGTGTTGATGTGTGATAAGCAATTACACTGCAGTGAGAGATGTCATCTGTAACCCTTCGAACTAGAAGTGATGAGGACTGACTTCAGATTTATAGGCAAGATCATAATCTGCACTTTTTCCTAAAAAAAAATATTGTGTTTAATGGTGGGAAAGCTGTACAGTAAGGAAGGATGAACTGTCTGGTATTTGATTAATGGAAGTAACAAAACAAAATTCAGCCACTATATTGCAAGTTTAGGGTCCTTGAAAATGTGTGTTTGTGTCTGTGTCTCTGTGTATTCCCTGCAAACTGCTTATCCATGCTACAGAGGTATTTGCTGAGTGGCAGAGCAATTTTACAGCTGCCTTTTTCCTTCTTCATTTATGAAAAAGGGGGAGTCAGATATTTCAGAAACATGTCTGGGGTGGATCAGGGGATACTCTAATTTTATTAGATCCCAAAGCACTTTTCCCAGAACTGCTCTAGTATTAGAAGAAACACTATGGCTGCTCTGCATGAAATGGAAAGATTATATTTTCAAGAAGATGCTACTTCAGGGACCATTGAGTAAGTGCAGATAATCTGCCAGAAGAAAGAGAAGCTTAATTTAATGTCCATGATAATTTAATAGCATCTTAAACCAAAGAAGCTTTTACAAAACAATGATTAACATTTAATACACAGTATTACATTTTCTTATTTAATACAAACAAGAAGATAAGAATATATTGTTATCAAGAATTTATTTATAGACTTTAAGGTATAGCAAGTGTTGTTTATTATAAAGAGCTCCAGTTTTTGTTCTTTTAAAGGATAGCTGCATAGTAATATTGTTTTCCAGTATTTCAGTATTTGAGGGGTTGCCACAAAGAAGAGGGGGTCAACTTATTTTCCAAAGCACCAGAGGGAGGGACAAGAAGCAATGGATGGAAACCAACAAAGAGAGAAGCAACCTGGAATTAAGGAGAAACTTCCTAACAGTGTGGACAATTAACCAGTGGAACAGCTGGCCTCCAGAAGTTGTGGGTGCTTCATCACTAGAGGTCTTTAAGAAGAGACTGGACAGCCACTTGTCTGAAATGTTATAGGGTCTCCTACTTGAGCAGGAGGTTGGACTAGAAGCCCTCCAAGGTCCCTTCCAGCTCTGTTTTCATTTATCTTTATATGTAAAAAATAATATTTTGTAACAGATTGAGAAACATGTGGGCCTTCAGATGCTGTTGGATTACAATTTATCCAGTATAAATTTCCCAATAATAAAACAAGGACTTTAGAAAACAGCATTTATGCAGAAATATAAGAATTGCATAATTCAAGGATAAGCGTTGAATATTAAACTCGATTTGAAAAACCTGGCAGTTCCTAAATTCTGCCTGAGGGTATATTCCCCACAGAACAGAGAATAAAGGCAAATGCAAAAGCAGAGCCTGTCCTTGCAGAGGTTCTTCCAGTAAAGAAATAGCCTTCTGTGGCCTTGATTTGAAATAGGGTTTTAGGATAGTGAGTTAATGAATTTTGAAGATTCAGGTACTCCTACATCCTGTGAAACAATTAAAGTCTTTAACTAAACTCTGTGTGGGACAAATGGTAGTCAAGCTGAGAATGTGGGTATAAAGTAACATTCTTCTCTCTATCTGGTACACAGAGTTTCTGTTTCTGATAGGCTCTTCTTACATATTTTTAGCTACATCTGTTCCAGAATACTAGGGTGTCCTTTTGTCATATTGACTATGTAAACCACTCCCTCTGTTTCCTTGCTTTATGTCTCTCATTCTGTTCTCCTAGACTTTTGAGGAATCATATTAATTTGAAATTGTATTTTCACATTCATGTGTTTTTTCCAAATGTGTGATACCACCTTTAACATTACCCATCATGTTAGATCGAGAAGGCTTTGGACAATCATTCTGCATTGGTGTGAATTATTTGTCAGAGTATATTTCTGTACAGAAAGTACAGAGAGCATCCAAAATACCGATGCACACCTATGGCACAATTCACAGGATTGAAATTGAAGCTGCTTTTAAATATGCTTGGTGAATAAACTTTTTTTTATATAGATCAGTAAGTAAGAAAAGGATTCTGTCCCTGGAAACTCAGATTACCATTTGGATTTGAAGGAGGAGGTGACATACTTAGAACAAAGGAGTGGAATTTTTTTTAAAAAAAAAAAGATAATGTAAGGAAAAAGGTTGCCAAAATAGACAATTGTTGCAGTCCTACTAGAAAATATACTCAGCCTATATCTTCATATATATCCAGTAGCTGTGGAGAAATTTATGACTGTAAATGTTTTTGAGTTACGGTAGATTGTTTGTCCTCCAAATTCACCGTTGCTGAACAAAGGTTGTTTATAACCTGAGAAAATAAAGTAAAAATTTATAGGACCTAGAGCACAGCTAAGATACCACATTTGCTTGGGTCTAGATGATTATTAATCTTCAGTGATTAACTCTTTTGGGAGTGATAATCATTTGTTTTCTTTATAAGACAAGCACAAGTAATAAACTTAATGATAGTAGATACAAGATACACTGAGGAAGAGATTTTCAAAACTGTGAAATCAGAATGCTGTAGATAGGAAGTGAGAAGGTAAAGTTGTAATGTAATGTCTTGTCCCAATTATATCTTCCCATCCCAACCTGGTCAGGCAAGGAGGGTATCTTGTGGATCCCACGGGTTAAAGAATTTTTACTGATGGATTTCAAAGGCGCTTTTTTTCAAATGGCAACTGGACTGGTTTTGTTTTTTTTTTAAGGAAGAAAATGAATAAGTTTTGCTTCTCATCGAAGAAGCTTCGTCAGTTGTGATGAAAGGGGGATGGAAGGATAGTTCTGACAGCATTGGAGGATGGTGGTGGAAGGGTTATATTTCTTTGCAATTATCTGGCCGTTAGCACTCTCTCTGAGAGCCGGTAAGGCCATTTGGGGGTTTAATCTGTGCCCTCAGGATCACTTGAATCAGAGTGCAAATGGGTGTGGAATACCTCTTGGAACTGCTGGAAGGATTGCGTTGACTGGTGGCATCCAGGAAGAGACCCTTCTTTGCCATTATTCCCACCTTCTGTAACACTTTAACCCCAGAGATAAGGCAACCCTCTCCCTTTTTTTTTCTGGCCTTCCAAAATAATGGATTCTACTATTTGGCATGGAGGCCAAAAAGTGATATGTGATATATGTGGTGGTTGGTTTTATGAGGGTGTTCTCTTCACTTTGTTAACTTTTTAACTGCTGTATCCCTACCTTTTAAATTTTGTTTTTAACTTTGTCCTTATCGTATGCTTTTATACTATATGTATATTTTTTTATTGTAAGCCTCCTGGAGTCACTTAGCTGAGACGGGTGATATAGAAATATAATAAACAAATAACAGTAAGTGGCTGCCCCTATTTGTGATGCACTCCATCATACTTTTCTGAAGAAAAAATGGTATTTATCTGTAAAACAGATGTATATTTGTTTGAACTGTGTAAAATTTCTGCAGTTCATATAGAAGGTGGAACAGTTTTGTTTACAGTCTGAGGTGAGGTGGGATGGAGTCAAATTCTGGTTTATATCGCCAGATGATGGCATTAATTATGCCATAAATGCATAAAGTCGTTGGGTAAAGTGTGTATATAAGCTTGGAAAGATCTTATTTTGGATTATTAGATAGCCAAAGATTGTACTCTGTGGTATTTATAGGTTATGGCATGAAAAGTGTGTGGCTGGAGAAGTCCTTGCAGAAAGGGTAGGATAATATAAAAATGAGATTATAATTATTACTCTCTTTGCTCACCTTTTTAGACATTCTATGCATTTGGAGCTTGTTCATGGGGGACATCAGTTTTTATATATTATTAATTTTGGAAAGAGATATAGAGTATAAGGTCACTACAATAATGGTAGATACTAAATCGATTGATACTAAATTGCAGATTCAGAATTCCTTACTTCTTCATGTGCCACTTCTGTAAGGTCCAGATCTCCACAATTTCTCTTCTTAAAATCAAGAAGGTTGCAATATTATCTTAGAGAAATATCAACATGTTTTTTTTCTTCCCCAATTTCTTGTCCATTCTGCAACTGTATTATATTCTGAACCTCTGCTGACACCTAGTGGTGCAACTGAGGAAGTATTTAAATCTTTCACTTTTAAAACATGAAAGGCTACTTGTTTTTACTTTGTTTTAGATAGATAGATAACCTTTATTGTCATTTTTTTACTATGGATACAATGGCACACATTAAAAATGAAATTTAGTTGCTTGCTCTGAAAATGTACACATACATAACACACATTTAAATATACTATAAACAACATATGTATAAACCTACACCTTTACATATAAGTAACACATAAATATTAATCACTGTCCATCTTGATTACATATACATTTTAATACCTTTTAATCTTTCATATGCTGCAAAAAGCCCTAGCTTTTCATAATGGGAGATTATTTTCACAATTTTGTATTTGTACTTCAAATATATGAATTCAGTATAATGATTTAAAGAAGAGAAGCTATCTGTATAAAACAAGCTTTTTTCAATAGGCTGGAGAAAGAGAAAATTGTTATCTTATTTGACTGAATAGAAATTAGGGTGGAGGACTTCCGGTGGCAGGCNGAGAAAAAGATGGTCAATGAATCAAAGACTGTGTAAAGATAAACAATATATACAGATGCTAGAAAAGGAGTTGACATTATTTTTTCAGGTAAATAAAAAGGAAGAGACATCAACACAAAATTTGTGGGATACTACAAAAGCTTACATTCGGGGATTGACAATTGCATACAACTCTAAGAAAAACAAAGATAGG